CTTGATCCATGACACAGTGCATTTTCATACAGACCCACATCACAATGCCCTTCCTCTAGAGCAGAGACAGTCTGGAAAATAACCTTGACTAATGGATTTGGTCCTACTGCAACTCTGTCCATGACACAGACATCCAGTTCTGAGTCCTCATTGTCCCTACACTACTTCAGACTCATAACTCTTCTCTCTTAGTTCTCAGTTAATATCTTCTTCCACCCCAACCCTCCAGCTCGGGTTTGCTCTCTGTAGACTCTGCCTACTTGGCCCAGGTAGATTTGCCATCATTATGCTCCTTTTGTACCCTGCAAGCCTATGAAATTCCTTCCATTAATCAACAAGAATATATTAATGAGATTATCATGCTTCTGCTACTGTGCTAGGCATTCAGAAGAATTATGAATGTGGTATTTACCCATAAAGTGGTTCAATCTAATTAGTGAAAAATGACTAATGTACCTGAAAATGATAGAGCTGTACATAGGATCAGAGGGAAAGTCTCATTTGTCCATCAGGGCAAGAACTAAGAACCATGGCGATTCCACAGAATCTAGCTCATTGCCTAGCATGGCCTCTGAGGTTGTTGTTTTTTTTTTTTTTTTGGTACCAGGGATCGAACTTGGTCCCTTGCGCTTTCAGCGGGGCAGGCAGCGGAACCACTGAGCTAAATCCCTGGCCCCTCTGAGTATTTTTTGGTAAAATGAATAAATGAAGAAAGCTAGCATATCAGATGGTTTCATGGAAAAGGGGAAACTCAAATCTTGAAGGATGGCAAAGATTGGGATTAATGTAGACAAAAGGAGCAAGGGTACATTATAAACGGAAATGAATACAATGAATTTAATGGAATGAGGAATTTTGCCTGATTGGAACACACTTTACGTAAGTTGAAAAATTCATTTATCTCTTCAGGTACAATGACAGCAGTTTGACCTTGTTAAACAGTTTTAAAAGGTTCTGTGTGTCTCTGTGTGTGTGTGTGTGTCTCTGTGTGTGTGTGTGTGTCTGTGTGTGTGTCTGTGTGTGGATGGGAGAGTGATGAAGGACAGATAGTGTTAAATTATCAAGATCTGTGGGAGCTCAGAGAAGCTGAAGCAAGGAGACCCATGAGGAGGGTAGCATCATAACAGGCCATTAAAACAGCTTTGGGGCAGTGTGGAAGGGTAGATAGGTACAACAGGAGATGTTTTTGATGAATAGTGCAGCACAATACCATCACTCTTGGGAAGGAGGGATCTAACATAACTACAGGGTACCTGACAATGTCATCATAAATTTAAGAAGGATAGATGGTTTGAGAGAGGAGAAAAGTGGTTTTGGACAAGCACATACAGGATGACAGTAACATCCAGTCATTATCTTATTAGAGACAAAGGTCTCCAGAAGGATGGAGAGGGCATGTTAGAGATGTATCCTCAAGCATTGTTGCACAGAGGTTGTCAGGAAATAGGGCTTCAGTGATGGCTGTTGATTTCTCCCATGAGGTGCTATTAAAATCCCGCTTTGATAATGATAGCATGTAACAACACCATCACCAGGATCACCTGAGTTGTGTCCAGTTTTGGCGTTCCCTTAAGAATCAGAGCCCCATTAAATGATGTCTGAGTTGGTGGTGCTCTCAGCACATGGGCAGCTTGGGGTCTTCAGAAGCATGTATTGCTGATCACCAGGTGTGTGAGTGCACCCAGAAGATTGCCATGTTGATTAATTCCTGCCAGTGCCTCCAAAGCATTGCTGTAGCTGAGGGGGTTTTCTCATTTGATGAGTTATCTTTGTCTTTCACAATGTGGCTACAGATATACCTCTGTACATCTTCATTAGGCAGAGCAAAAGTACTCAACATTTAAATGTGTGGCAGCACCCACCAGAATCTCAAATATGAGTAGATTTACAAGTCCTTTGTATCTTGAACAAAAATTATAATTGTGTTTCTACTGCAGTATAAACTCAGTACCCAAAAGACTACTGACTTTTCAAATGTTTTCAATCTTAAGGTCTTTCTGGCTGACTTGGGCAGGGTAGAAGTGATATTTTTCCCTTGAATGACTATTTTGCAAAGTTATCTCATCCTTTATGTTAGCTTTCTGTTGCTGCGACAAAATACCTGAGAAAAATCAAATTAGGAGGAAAGCTAGTGGCATATCCCTGTAATCCTGGCACTAGGGAGGCTGAAGCAGAGAATCACAAGTTCAAAACCAGCCTGAGCTACATAGCAAGATCTTCTCTTTCCTTTTTCTTTTTTTGGTTACCAGGGATCGAACTCGGGTCCTTGCACTTTTGAGGCAGGCGGTGGAGCCACTGAGCTAAATCCCCAGCCCTGGCAAGATCTTATCTCAAAAAAAGGGGGAAAGATTTATTTTGACTCGTGGTTTCAGGGGTTTCAAACCATGGTCACAAGGTCCTATGTCTTTTGGCCTGTGGGAGGAGGAAAGCTGCTTAATTTATGACAGACAGGAAACAGAGAGAGAGAGACACAGAGACAGAGACAGACCAGAGACAAAATATATCCTTCAGGGGCACTGTCAGTCACTTTCCCATAATTGACAAAACACCCAACATCCACAACTTGAAGGAAGAGAGTGTAATTTTGGCTCATTGTTTAATTCATAATAAACTGGCTCCAAGGCAGAAATGGCATAGTTGAAGGACATGGTGGAGAAAAACTGTTCAGCCTAGTGCAAGCAGAAAGCCGAGAGAGAGAGAGAGAGCGCACTCTACCAGGTCACACCCCCAGTGACCCTCCTGAAAACACATGCAACTCTGAACTCTTGAATGGATTAATCCACTGAAGAGTATAGTGTGCCCATAATCCAATCACATTCTGAAAGCTCCACCTCTAACCACATGAGCCTTCTAAAGTGCATTCTAGATGCAAACCATAACATTCAGCCCCAGGCCCCCAAAAGACTCATATCAATTTCTTTATTCAAAAATTCATTTAGTTTATCTCTAAGAGTTGTGAAAGTCTTGACATTTCCATCATTGCAGAAAAATCCAAGTCCAAACTTTCTCTGAGACTCCAGGCAAACTCTTAGCTGAGAGTCCCTGTAAATAAAAACACTGCCAATATACAATGTTACAGGTAAGCATTCCCATCCCCAAAGGGAGAAATAAAGGGATAGAAAGAAATCAGACCAAAGCAAGACCAAAACCCAGCAGAGCAAACATTAAATCCCATACCTCCATGTCCAGCACCTAGGGCAGGTTGTAGCAAGACATGAACTCTAAATGGCTTGAGCAACTTTGCCTCTATGGCACACCCTCCCTCTTGGGATGGCTCCGCTCTCTGCCTGTAGTTTTCCTCAGTGGACATTGCAGCTTCCTGGCATCTCCAATGTCCTGAACTCTAATCTTCACTTTGGCTTCACTCTCACGGTTTCACACATCACTCTCTCAAGGGCACGTGGCCTGGCCTCCCAGGCCTTCCAAAAATCTGGGTGGAATCTCCCTGACCACATGACTTGCATTTGGCATGCCTGAATGGTGCTGGTTTGCACCACATAGATGATACCAAGGACTTCTACCAGCTCATGCAATAGCTGGGAGCCCCCTTGGACCATGGCTCCAATAGCCTCTGACTTCCAGGATATCTGAACTTGGGGAAACAGTTTTGTAGGTGGCCCAGAATGAGCAGGGCAACCTGGGGCTCTCTTCTAAAACTCTCTCAAAGGAGTTTACCCTATTTACATCTTTGAGCTTGCAGTGAGTCGGGTCTGGCCATTTCTTCTGGTTCTCAATATAAATCTGGCCAGAATCATCCAGCAGTACCTATGCCAAAGCCTGAATGAAGAGCTGGCTTGAACTTTTCTCCAGATTAATTAGTCTACCACCCTTAGTCTCAATTTCCTACAAAATCTCAGAATATGGCCAAAGTAGACAAATTTTCTGCCAGAATATAACACACATAGCCTCTAGTCCAGCTGCCAATGTAGTCTTTGTTCCCAACTGGAACCTCCCAAGGCTGGCCTTTACTGCCTGCTTTTCTATCAGCATTCTGGCTTTCTGAGCTCTGACCAGAATCACCGATCAACCTGTTTATAGTATCCTAGGACTTTTCTGGTCTGTACCTCCAAATCTTTCAAAGCTCCTCCCACAAACCGATTCCAAAGGCTTCTAAACCGCATAGTCTGGTACAGTCACAGCAGCAAGCCTACTTGTGGTACCAATTTTCCCATTGCTGGAACAAAATACCCAATACTTGCAACTTAAAGGAGAGTGGTTTCAAGGCAGAAATAACATGGTAGAAGGGAATGGTGGAGGAAAGCTGCTCAATCATTGGCAGCTAGAAAGTAGAGAAGGGAAGAACCAGGATCAAGAATATACCTTTTCATGACATCCCCCCAGTGGTACACCTACAACAAGGTCTCACCTCTTTATAGCACATTCAGCCATGAATTCATCATAATCAGTAGATTAATCCACTGATAAGTATAGCACCCCATAATTCAGTCAACTTCCAAAAATCCTAGCTCGGAACCACGTGATTGTTTTGGAGAACATTTTAAATCTTAAACCATTACAAGCACATCTCCAGTGACATACTTACCCCAATGAGGCCCCACTTCCTAAAGTTTCCACCTCCCAATAGCCTTTTAAGTTAACAGTCCATAAATGGGTGAATCTGTTGATGAGATGAGAGTGCTTATAACCCAATCACCCCCCAAAGGCACAGCCTCTAGACACTGCTGCATTGGCGACAAAGCCTTCAACACATGAGCTTAAAACCCACACCTAACAGCCCATGAGTTTTGGTATTTTAAAAGAAAATTTCCCTCTTGTTAAAAAAAAAAAAATTTTAAGATCAGCTTTGAATGATATTGTGAAAGGACTGATTGATGCCCTATGAGGCCAAAGGACTATGCATTATTTGTGAGAGAGATGCAGTCTGGTGTCATGCCGTGCTGCTCTTTTAAAATGTCATAGCTGCTATGGAGAGAGAAAAACAACCTTGAAGAGTAATGCAGAAGCAAGCATACATCTGGAGTCCTTCACTATTTTTACAGGCTTCTTCCATCGGGACTTGAAGCCAGAGAATCTCCTCTGCATGGGACCAGAACTGGTGAAAATCGCAGACTTTGGATTGGCTCGAGAAATCCGATCAAGACCTCCCTACACAGATTATGTGTCTACCAGATGGTGAATACTATTTTTCTCAAAATTATTTAATTCCATTTCTTTATAAGGATGACATTTTATTGGGAATGAAGTCAGTCATAAACATTAAGTTTTAAATAAAAGGAAGAGAGCAGTCTGAAACACTCTTTGTAGGTGTGTTGGCATTGGATGAGGTTAAAGATTTGTGTGGTAAATAGCACATAATTTTAAATAATTATGTGTTTCCAAGGTACAAGATTTTATATATAGGCCTTCCCAATAACATTTTCCCCAAAAGAGTTATGTAAGAGGTTCTCCGAAGATCTGTCTGAAAAAGCCATCTAATTGCTGTTGTTAAAACTAAACCCTAGGAATTGATTTACACAGTTTGCCAGGATCGAGAAGTGGCCCTTGCACAGGTTTTAAGTTCTTTCCCTTCCTTTCTGTCCTCTCTTTCTTCCAAACTGTTATTCTCTCTGTGTGTCTCTCTGTGCTATAGAGAAGAGTCCTGTAGAGAAATGCTCCGTAGACAGTAGTGTGCATAGAGAAGCACCATTGTTTTAGCAGCAGCCACAATGGTCATCAATTCCTTCCAAGTCCACGTACCACACTGAACTAGAGAGAAAGCAAATATGTAAGAATTACTTGTTATTTAATTTAATTTCTGACCAGTGGAAGTGACAGCTAGCAGCTAACTTTGTTTCTCCAGGTATAGAGCTCCAGAAGTCCTCCTGAGGTCCACCAACTACAGCTCCCCCATTGACGTCTGGGCTGTGGGCTGCATCATGGCAGAGGTGTACACACTCAGGCCGCTCTTCCCTGGGGCCAGTGAAATTGACACGATATTCAAAATTTGCCAAGTGTTGGGGACACCAAAAAAGGTAATGGTATGAACAAAGGCCTGTGGGCCAAAGCCAGTGACTTTCTGGGCTCCCTCTCCTCCAGCACTGTGTAGCACTGATGCTGTTGAGCATCTGCCCATTCTAGAATCTTTGTCTTGAGCTCGGCTATCCTCCTTTGCCCACATCCTCAGACATGGCCAGTTCTCTTCTTCCTTCCTCTCTTGAAGTATGATCTCTGTCATGGCCCCCTCTGCTTTCACTCATTACCATCTCACTTCCTTTATGGAGCTTCTCTCTTCTCATGGTTACAACATGTTACACCTATTCAGAAGTCACCAAAATAATCTGTAGCCCCCACCTCCCTACTGTACAACTGTCTTGGGATCCACCACCCCTTACCATCACCTCAAACTCCACTCATTTAAAACAGGGTTTTAAAAATGACTTTTCCCTTACCACCCAACATGCTTCCTTTCCATACCCAAGTCTGTCTGTGGTTCCCTCATAGTCACAGAGCCCCAGCCTTGGGGCTAATTCTACTTTGCCTTCTTTCTTTCCCTTTGTCCAAACAGTTGTTCAGTAAATCCTGTTCAGTATCCTTCCATGGTATCCCTCCTGTGGCTCCTGTCCTTTCAGGTTCACTGCTAACATCACAGACAGGACAGTGGTGACCAAGTGTTAGGATATCCGCTCAACTTTACTGCCTTCCTGTCTTTACCTTCAGAATGTCTCTCAGTCTGTGCCCAGAGTTATCCTCCTGAAGAACAGCTCTAGTTACTGATCTCCTCTCCTAAAAATACTCATTGTTCCACTTGGTACTTGTACTCCCCACCCCCGGCTGTGTGCCCCAGAATGATCCCTTTCTGTGGTCTACATGCACACCCTCTGCCCGAGCCACCTAAGGGAGTGTCTCATCCATGATCAAGTCTTTCTCTTCTGAGTCCTCCATCTCCACCCTTACTATTTTCCAGTCTCCTGGCTGTCCTCACCTTTGTTCTGTGTTAGCCATGTGCATGTCTGTTTCTTGGATCATAAAATCATTCCAGGCAAGGATTTATCTTGTATTTTTTTCCCCACCTTCCAGCGCCATTGCTGTTATGAACTAGATTCTCAAAAATTTTTAAATCATTTGAGTGGATCATTATTGCCACCTCATCAAGGTTCCAGACTCACCTGCTGGCATCTCTTCATCCTCTGCACACCTGTGTCTTTACCTCTCTGGTGGCCTTTGTCATTTTTCACTCTGTATTATTGTCTTTTAAAATAAATGTCCTATTTTCTCTTTTAAGGACAGTGATATCCTTAAGAGTAGGATTAATATTAGATTATAGTTGGCTTTGAAAAAGGAGGAGGCGACGATTATATTAGGATATGTCCTGCACAGCAGTAATGTTAGAGCCAGCGGGAACTTTAAAGAGCCCTTGCTCAGTGTGTTCCAGCATTCCTCCACCATTTAAAAGTGCACGACTTGATTCATGAAAAGTGGAGAGTAGGAGACTGGGTAGAACAGCTTTCTTTCCTGCTGGTCTTTTCAGCATATGTATTTTGAATCATGAAGTTGGGATCTAGTAGGACATATCTAGGGATTTAGTTTTTTTGAACAGGAACAAGTGTCTTTTTTTATTTTGTTTTCCTCCAAAATACATCTCATTAGTGGTTTCTAAAACCTTGCCTCCTGAAACACAACTGGGGAAATACTAATTTGCTTCAATCTCAAAATCTCAAGAGTTAGATCTTCTGGAGTAAGGGTTATAAAACAAGTTGGTGACAAATCCAGTGTCTTTTCTAGTGTTTCCCAGATTTTACGTTCTCTGTAGTCTCTTCATTAATGCAGTCCTGTGTCTCATCATACACGCTGCTGCCATAGTGAACATGGGAGGGGTAATGACATCATTGCCTTTCCATGAAGGACACACAGGGAGGAATACAAGCTCGAGTCACAGCAAGGGGCTTAGCAAGACTTGCTGTCCTTTTCTTCTTTCAGACTGACTGGCCTGAGGGCTACCAACTTTCAAGTGCTATGAACTTCCGCTGGCCCCAGTGCATACCCAATAATTTAAAGACTCTGATTCCAAATGCTAGCAGCGAAGCAATTCAGCTCCTGAGAGACATGCTTCAGTGGGATCCTAAGAAACGACCAACAGCTAGTCAGGTTTTCTTCCAGTTTCTTTTGTTTGATGCATTTCTTATAAAGTTCTTATCTAATTCTGAATAATTTCTATAAATTCCATGGGAAATATATATGGTACAAGAATTTAAAGAACTTTGAAATATATTGTATATAATTAAAGTAGCTGACATTAAACAATATAGTTGCTTTAAAATTAACATGCAATTTATATGATATATCACCATATATGTGGAAATGAAATGAACAGATCTGTCTTTGGAGAGTGTTTTTAAATATATTCTCTATGAATTAAGATTATGCATGAGTCTGTAGTAGTTTGTAATATAGTAGCAGTCTTGTAGTAGTTTGAGTATAAGCCAGTACAGGTTGTGTGGAAAGGTAACTTCTTACCTTGTAAAGTACAACTTGTGCATTGTGTGACAACATGGAGAGAATGAGAGGTGAGGTAGACCCAGGCTAACAACTGCAGTTGGCACTTTTTTTTGTTTTTTTTGGTACCGGGGATTGAACCCGGGTCCTTGTGTTTTCAAGGCAGGTGGTGGAACCACTGAGCTAAATTCCCAGCCCTGCAATTGGCATTTAATAGCACTTTACATTTTACAAATGGCTTTACTGTGATTTTAACCTGGTGAAGAGCCCATGAGATAGATATTTTTGTTTTCATTTCTATAGGTAAAAAAACCAGAATCTCAGAAAGTTTAAGTGATTTGCCCCAGTACAGTAGATGGCACAGATAGTGCAACCAACCGCAGTCTTGTGCAGATGGCAGGGCTTCTGACCGAGTTCCTGTTCCGGGCCACTTTGCCCGAGATTATGAAATGCACTTGAATGAGGCATGGTAGTGGTGCAGGCTCCCTCCACCACCTGTCGGCCTCCTGCAATCCTCCTCTGCATTGGGTGTGTTTGGCCCCTTCTCAGCTTGTCTCATGGATGATTACACTGCTCAGAGGATCAAATAAGTGACCAATTCTAATCAAAGAAGGTTATTTGGCTACTGAAAGAGGTGGCGATGTATGAAAAAAGTACAAATGTGGTGTGAGAATTTGTGGTAGCTGGAAAGATGATTGTCAGAGGAATAATTAAGGAGTGCAGAATAGCTTTTTTCAAAGGTTCAAAGAAGACCCAAAATCTGCCATAAGGCTCTGGCTGACTCAAGAGAGTTGAAAGCTCTCAGAAATGCACTTTTGATAATGAAATTCACAAATGGTTTGAGGGAAGAAAGGAAGGTCTTGGACAAACCTTCTGATGAATCCTTAAAAGTTGTACACAAGAGGGCCAAGTATTTATTCAGTGGCACCATGCCTGCCTTGCAAGTGCAAGGTCTTGAGTTCAATCCCTGGTACAGCCAAAAAAAACAATTAAGAAAAGCTAAAAATACTCCATATCATTCTAGACTTGCAAAAAAGCCTGGGACTGCAGAGAAGGCTTTTCAAGTTAGATGCTGGAGTCCAAGACCTTTACCAGGGCACCATTATATTCACCCCTGTATCTGCACTTACTTATAAGCATTTCTGATGTGTCTAACTTATTAAGAAATACTGTTATTTTTCAATGACTCTAAAAAGATACAGGAATACAGAAAATATTTCAGAAAAAATTATAAACCTTAAGACTTTAAGATTTATCTTTGGCTATCCTGCAAACCTGATTATCCAAAACAACTGGCACTAACCCTTGTCATGATAGGGAAGGTTTAACTATATTAACTATAAACTCTTCATACTTCAGGGGTGAAAGCATATGTACCTACTTATTTTGTACTTGCTTTTCAGTATCCTCCAGTATCATTATGTTTGGATTTTTTTTGTTTTACATTATTGTTTCTCTTTCTGTGACATGAGGAAATGGACTTAGAAGGGTGGCATATATTTAAGACACATGGCAAGTGCGTTACAAAAGCAGGATCTGTGTTGAACCAGAATGCTCTCCAGCAATAACGAAAGTAATAGCAGTACAACTGGCTACTTTATTCAAATAATTTTAAGTGTTGCAACCTGTTACAATGTGCTGGGTGAGGACAGTTACAAGGGGTGTTACTGAGTCAGGATGCTATCTTCTAGTTGGCTTGGGCTAAGTTCTGGGATCCTCTGAGCCACAGGGCAGTGATCAGGATGGTTCACTCTCCTGTATCTACTTACATCCCCACCCTTATTTGTCATTGCAGGCACTTCGATCTCCCTATTTCCAGATTGGACACCAGCTGGGCATCACTGCACAGAACCTGCAGGACTCAGGAAAGCCACAGAAGGATGTCCTGGAAAAGACAGGCCCGCCTGCACACATCAAGCCAGTCCCCCCTGCCCACCCCCCAGTCAAGCCACACGCGCGAATTTCTTCCCGACAACATCATGCCAGCCAGCCCCTTCAGCATCTCCTGTACGGCTACAAAGCAGAGACCTCCAGGACAGATCACCAGAGCCATACTCAGGAGGACAAGCCAAGCCCACTGCTTTTCCCGTCCCTCCACAATAAAAATCCTCAGTCGGTAAGAGTAGAGAATGCACCCGTGAGCTTTGGGTCTGACTCTTAAGACCACGTATATTATGTCAGATATTTCCTTTTCGCTACACAAGGTCCAAATACAATACATTTATCTTTGCAATGCCAAAGACCCTAGGTTTAAGGTCTAAATTCATGCTCTGGCTCCACCTCTTAATAATAGTGCCACTTGGCTGGTAGCTGTGGGGCAGGGGTTGCAGCTGTGCTCTGCAGCCAGGTTGCCAGGATCTCAGATCTCAGCTCTGCCATTCAGAAGCTCAGTGACCTGAGCAAGTTCTGTGGCTGCTCTTCTTCCCACATCTGTAAGACAGGAATAATAATATCATCCACCCAATGTAATTGTTTGGGAAACTAAATGAATTAACACTTGAGAAGAATTTAGAAAAGTCCCTGGCACCTACTTCGAACTCTCACTATTTCATTAACCTCTGCTGACTCAGTGTCATCATCTGCAAAAGGAAGATCACATACACATGTTGCTCAGTCAGGACTGTTCATGAGGATCAAAGATTGTGACAGTTGTGAAGATATTTTGATAATCACGAGGTGCTGAACTTATGGTTATAGATTGCTGTTCATATTGCTGCTGGACATTGATGTTAACACTGAGTTATTAGGTGAGCCCAGATCCTTCTTTCCTTGGGCTGCTTTTCAAAAGGAAGCAAAAAGTGTTGGGTTGAATAGAACGATAACCTGATGAGATTGTGGTTGTCATTTGCTTTGTAATGCTGTCTGAAGGGTCTGACTTTCTGACACCTTTGAATCCTAGCATTCTGGGAGGCTGAGGCAGGAGGATCACATTCAATCCCAGCTTGGACAATTTCGTGACTTAGTAACACCCTGGGCTAGGACTTAGTTCAATGCCAAGGCATACGGTTCAATCCCTAGTACAGCAAAAAAACAAAACAGAATTTTTAAAAACCTCTTTGTGGGGCCGGGGATTTAGCTCAGTGCCGCTTGCATCACAAGCACAAGTTCCCGAGTTCGATCCCCGGTACCAGAAAAAAAAAACCTCTTTGTATCAGCTGGTCCTGACTGACTATGGGATCCTACACAGCACTGTGTGGGCACTGCTCCCCCCAGGCCATTTGCTTCACCCCCACCCACACTCTTGTGTTTGAGGATGTCCTGCTGTAGCTAGTTGTGCAGTTATGAGATCATGTCCAGATCTACTGAATAGGCAGAGACGGTATTATTGGCCTTGGTTTCTTTGAGTAAATGATTCTGCTGAACATTAGTTCTCTCTTACATCTCTGTAGTAACAGTAGAAATCATGTTAATGCTTCAGGGTTGAGGCCCAGATGAGAAGTCAGCCACCTTCCCAGTGTATAAGAATACTTTCATATGTCTTTCTTAAGTCCTATTTCATATAGCTGAGTGTACTCAGCGGATGGCAGCCGGTGTTAATCTTTGCAGGACAGGTGAGAGAAGAAGGTCTGGGGATGTGGCTTCCACAGTTGCCTTTTCACATAAGCAGTGCTTTGGAGAATGGCAGGCCTTAGGTTCCTTTCTCATAACAAGGGAATCACCATGAGTGACTCCATTAATGCTAAGTATTGCTTTTTTTCTCTCTCTACTGATATACACAGAAAATCCTAGCTGGCCTGGAGCACAAAATTGGTGATATCAAGCCAAAGAGTAGGAGAAGGTGGGGCCTTATTTCCAGGTCTACAAAGGATTCTGATGATTGGGCTGACATGGATGATCTGGATTTCAGTTCATCCCTCACCAGGATTGACCTGAAAAACAAGAAAAGGCAGAGTGACGACACTCTCTGCAGGCAAGTGTGCTGCTTCCACGTGTGAGTAGACTGCATCAGGGGTGTGAGAGGTCCTGTGGTCCTTGCTGAAGATGTGAGCTCTCTCCCCTTCCTCCCCTCCCTCCCCTCCCACCCCTGCTGCTCCCTCTCTCCCTTGTGCTGACTTAAGCCATGTTCTCTTGATGCAGATTTGAAAGTGTTTTGGACCTGAAGCCCTCTGAGCCTGTGGGTACAGGAAACAGTGCCCCCACACACACTTCCTATCAGCAGCGAGACACACCCACCCTGAGATCTGCTGCCAAGCAGCACTACCTGAAGCATTCTCGATACTTGCCTGGTAATAGAAATGACTCACCTTTAACATGAGCACTGATAAGAAATCTTGCCCTTAGAATCACAAATTTATACTGATTCTGTTTTGGAAGGCAAATACTTCCAAATTAGTTCTTGTGCTTGCTCAGTGTACAGGTTTAGATAATACTAGGTTACCCTCCAGGTAAGACTCTGCAAGAACTTCCCATTACTCATGAAGTGAAATCTACAAAAGATGCTTCTTGCCACATGCTATATTACCTCTTGTGTACATATGGGCTGGCCACACTGGCCTCTGCCACTGTTGTTTGTTTATTTATTTATTTATTTATTTTTACAGGAATAAAATATGGGACTTCTTATTTCATTGCTTAAATTAAAGCATTGCAGGAATGATTCCTGGTAATGATTTCAAAAGCCTCACTATATACATTTGAGGGGACTAGGGAAGCCACACTACCCTGTGCCACAAAAAACATTTGATATAACCAGTGACAGGCATGCATAATTTATAAAAGCAGAATATTATTATGATATGATATTAAACAGTTGGTTGCACACATTGATTCCACAGTTGAATAACAGAAAACATGCCATTATGATTACACTGTGCCAAACCTGAGAAATCTCCACAATATCTACAAGCCTGCTCAATTTTCAGACAGGAACAAACATCCAGAGACATTAAGCCACCCATCCAAAGTCACTGAACAAGATACTGCATTTGCTATTTTAGAATAAATTGTCTGTTTTCAAAAGTTTCTTTTTTTGTTTGTATGGTTGGGGGTTTTTTGTTTGTTTTTTGTTTTTTTGGTACCGGGGATCAAACTCAGGACTTTGCGGAACTACTGAGCTAAATCCCTGGCCCTGTTTGTTTTTTTTTTGAGACAGTGTCTTGGTTATGTAGTTCAGGCTGCCCTAAACTCACTATGCAGCGTAGGCTGGCCTTCAACTCACAGCAATTCTCCATGCCCACCTTTTAAATGGGTTTTAAAACATGTATTATCATTTATTTGTTCAGAACTTTCACTTAAATCAGTTGCCCCTTAATTATATCAATTACTATTCAATTATTTTCAGGGGTAAAGCCATGGCTTTTTTTTTCTGTGAATATTCACCCATTGTACTGAATGGCTCAGCCAGATGTAAAAACATTCAGAAACATGACACAAAGGTGCACCTCACCAGTAAATCACAGTTTTAAAAAATTATTCATGCAGAATGAAACTGTTAGTGCCAAACACACATTTACCTTTCACCATAGTTTAAAAGTATTTGCCAGAATATCTCCTCTCTCTGTTAAATCACCTTCCAAGATACACTTGTTTCCTACTAGATGCACAGTACAGGTGAGATGAGGGTCACACTGGTTATTCTATGTTCAAGACACTCTAGGATCTTGATTGCCTAAAATGAGATAGATAAACTTTTTGAAGTTTTGTTTGTTGGGACTAATTTTCTTTAGATCTTGATTATCTATTTTTAATACGATTCTGACAGATTGAAAAGTCAGAGCATTTTACCTAAAAATGGAAAAATATAATTTCAAAAGTTACTATGAAAGTTTGATTTACCTCACTTTGATTTTAAAGTAGAATGAAAACATCATCAGAACCACCACATATTTTGCAGTTGATGACACAATGTTCTGGAACATTTCAGAGACCCTGATCTTTCCTGCTTGGAGGTGTGTAGGTGAAGAGGAACTTGGTTGAGGCCTTTGAGGCTAGACCAGCTGCTGTCCAGTAACCCATGACCCTAAAGTTCAAGTCTCCTCTGGCATTCAGACCAAACTGCTGGTTTCTTCATAGTCCCATTTCCCCAGACAGAGTTTCAGACAGGAGCTGGAGGAGCAGGCCCACCTGGGGAAAATGGGCTGCCATGGAGGAAATTAGAAATAAGATGGGCCTGCGGGTGTTGGCCCGCACCAGTGGGCCCGGTTAGATCAAAGAGGCTGCAACCCCAAGGCCCTTCAGGTTGTGGTGGCAGTTTGGGCATGAAACCAGTTTAAAGGCCTTGGAGCTATGGGTGAGGTGCCCCAGAGCTTGCTGAAGGGGCTCGACTTTAAGACTTAGGCAGGCCTGGAGCATCAGGTGGTTAGACAGGACTGCCAGGAGCACACCGTGGTGGAGCCAAGGAGGTGGCAGCCACCTGCACCAGTGTTGGGCCAAGAACCAGGCACCTCTGGCTCCCAGACACCTTGAAGGCTAGGGTTACTGAGAAGGCAGCAAGGAGTGATGTGAGGCCCCTGTGGGTGCAGAGGTTCGCTGGGGTGAGCACTGCCACTAGCATCACAGTGTCCTCCTGACCACGCAGGGCCCTGGCACCCATGCTGCAAGACCTCCTCAGCCCAGTGCCATCTCACAGTCACCGCTCTTGGCTCCCAGGGTAGGCCCATGGACCCAGATATGCAGCTCTTTTGGCTGCAGCCCATGCAGCTGTTAGTCCATTGGCTGATAATGTGAATACTTTACAGAAATATTTGCTGAAGCCCAGATCGAACATTTCTTACCTTACATAGTCCTCTGAAATTAAAACAAAAATTGGTATAAGAAACTGGGTCCAGACTCTGGGGAAGGAAGAAAGGGCAAGACTGGGAAGCCTATGTGAAGCCTCTCCATCAGACAGGTCCAGCAGGAATGGGCAGGCAGTAAGAATGGAGGAAGCTCAGTCCTGTGGGGGTTATGCCAATGGTGTGCTATTGTGTGGTGGTACCCAAGCCTTCAGATTCTCTGTATTCCAAGCTGATGGTATTGCCCAATCATCCACTCACAAACTAACTCAGTGGATAAATATATGTTGAGCATCTACAGTTCACTGAGTACGAGGCGTATCATGGTGAATAGAACAGCCATTGGAGCCCCAAGCTGCACAACTCTTAAGGTGCTCTTTGGTCTCTTGGCCTCCATAGCAGCCCTGGAGACAGAGCACTTACAGCACAATTTATCTCCTAGTGCTGGGAGACACTGGCCAGCAGTAATCAGAGGTGGTGACAGAGTGGTAAGAAGGCCTCTCAGCAACTAGCTCTTAGCTGGGCCCCAGTGAATAAAAAGCAGTTGTGCACAAAGCTGAGGGAAGGGCACACCAGGCAGAGGAGACTGCAGATGCAGAGTCCTGGAGTCAGGCCAGGCTTGGCCTGTGAGAGGAATGTCAGAGGCCAGTGTGCCCGCAGCATCTAAGAAAAGAGCCAGGAATACACAGCATGAGGCAGCTTCAGGGGCCTCATAAGACCTTTGGATTTTATGGGATGAGTGGTGAGAGCTCCAGAAGGGGTTTCACTGGAAGAGGAAACTGGTTTGTCTGTGTGTGCATGAGAGGATCAGGAGCATCGAGCTCTGGCTGCCATCCAGGGAGGGGTGGTCGCACAGGCTAGGGGAGCAGTCAGAAGGATGGGACGGGGACAGGGACAGGGAGGGCATAGCATGTCTTACTCAAACATTCAGTCTTCACTGGCTGTTTGGGAACAGGGAAATCCTGCCAGGCTTCATCAGGTTTGAGCTTTAGTCTCCAAAGATTGACCAGACAGTCTCCAGGAATGTCTTAGAAAAAGAAACCAGATGACAAGAATAGAGGGATCCAGGTGTGTAGGAGCCACCATGACCAAAGGCAAAAAGGAGCAAGGAGCAGATTGGAAAGGTGTTTTGGCTGTAGAGGAAGAAGAAAGATAAAAGCAGAATGTATATTTCTGTTCTGAAAATGGTTGTAGTGCCTGATAGAAGTGGAAACATGGAGCAGTTAGAAGGGAAAGCAGTTTGTCTTAAGGTCTTGTTGATTAAGGCTGAGGTCAATCAGCAGTGTTGTGGGAGTCCTGGGATGAGGAGGACCAGAGTTGGCAAGGGCGGTTGGTACAGACCCAGTCATCAGCACAGGACGCCAAGAATAGGTGAGGTCAGGTGAGCAGATGGAACCAAAAGACAGACACAGGAGAGCAGAAGGCTGCAGAGCCAGGGGTTGGAGATAGATGGGGATGCAAAAGGATATGAACAGGGCACAGAGGGAAGTAGGCTGGACAAGAGTGGAATATCAAAGAGCGGTGAAGCCGAGAATGATGCTGGCAGGTCATCACTGAGGCTGATGCACAAGAGGCCTCTCAGTCCATGCACAAGCCAGACAGCACGCTAACCACGAGGACGCTGACTCAGCGATGACATCATCGCAAGTTTTGCTTTGATTTTGGAACCACAGGCAGTCCTTGACCAACTGGGATCTGTGTTAATTTCATCTCTGAAGTCTAGTACAAGATTAAATGGGTATTTGCATTTTAAATAAACTTTATTGTGTATAATTAAGGCAAGCAGCATAGTTTATAGGTTATATATTACATAGTAAAAAGTTTACCATAGTGTCAAATTAACATACCCATCAGCTCATGTAGTTATCCCTTTTTAGGTTTTATGACAAGAGCAGCCAGATTCTATTCATTTAGCACAGACTCCACATAAAGGACTATTTTATACAGTGGTCCTCATGTTGCACTTTAGATCTTCGGATTTATTCATTGTGCACACCTGCTACTTTGTATCATCTTACCTATCTCATCTCTCCATTCCTCCCCCACCCCTGCCCTTGACAACTGTCTGTCACTTGTTGTCTGCTTCTGTATATTTGATATTTTTTCCTTAAAAGATTCCATGTGTAAGTGAGATCATATTTTTCTCTGTCTGGATGATTTCTTTTACCATAATAGCCTCCAGTCAGGTGTGGCAAATTGCAAGATCTTGTTCTTCTTAAGGCTGAATAAAATTCCATTGTATATATGTACTGCAGGTTTTTTTCTATCCATTTTCCTGTTCCATTTTCAATTTTAAAATCACTGTTTTTCTCTTTTAGGAATAAATATAAGAAATGGCATGCTCCCAAATCCAGGAAAGGACTTTCTTCCGTCTAATCCATGGTCCAGTTCTGGCTTGTCTGGAAAGTCTTCAGGGACAGTATCAGTAATCAGCAAAATAAATTCAGGTGAATAATGATTATTAACTCCTAAATGGCGAAAATCAAAGTCTGTGGATGCTGTGAGGTGGACACAGAGAGATGTGGGACAAGGCCTTTCTGGCATGAAGATACACCTTGTCCTCTCCCTTCCTCGGCAGCAGGCCCTGGGCTCAGGCAGCTCCCATAGGGTCATACCCGCCAAGGCTGCAGAATGCAGCAGACTTGTTCCTGGCCCAAGAATCTGACTTTGGCCACTGAGGCCTGGAGTGCTGTGGGCGGCACCTTCTGAGGTAGAGATGAGCTTGGCTCTGTCTTCTTTGTTCCAGCTGGGAACTCTGCATGCTGATCCAGCCTTCAGCCCAGGGCATCAGGTCTCTTCTGGTTGGGAGGAGGTGGGTAGTGGAAGGGGCTCTTCCTGCTTTTCGATTAATAGGCCCTACAGGCTGACGAACCCGGCCCAGGAGATCTGTCTGCCATGGCTACATCCCTTTCCGCATGGCCAGGGGAACACCTGACCTTCACTTCCCCACCTCTGTCCTTTAGGCCTCATTTATTTTAAAGAATACAAAACAAAAGAGACGATATATCAGTACTCATGCACCTACCACCTACCTGTCTACAAGTTCACTACTAGATGGGGTGCTGAAATGCACATTGTTGTGCAAAGGTATCTGGTGGAATACGCATTTTAGGTTTGTATATACTGATGTGAAGTATAGTCTATATTATGGAGTGGAAAAAGCAAACTTCAGAACAAGCTAAACTTATTACAAAAATTAAAACGTCCAATATCCTTTCTGTAATTTAAGAAATAACCCTGTGCTTGGTTGTGTCTATGGGAGCAGCATTGTCTTTGCCCTTCTCCACTTTCTGACAATGTGGCATAGGGGATGGTTTACTCAAAACTCACTGTTTTCATCACAATTCTTTTATTTTCCCTGAAAGTAAAAACTTAATTCTTTATTGGCCTGCACTACTCTCCTTTAACCCTGTTTGTGTCATATGAATGTTACTATTTAATAACGAGCTTTTGCTTTTGCAAATCAGTTGGTTCCAGCTCTACAAGTTCTAGTGGACTGACTGGAAATTATATCCCTTCCTTTCTGAAAAAAGATATTGGTTCTGCTATGCCAAGGGTTCCCCTGGCACCTGTTCCGGACCCTTCCCTGGGTAAGTTCTGTTTCTGATTATTCATGAATTTGACTCAGCAGTTACGGAATGATTGCTCTGTGCCAGGCATCCACCCAGAATCCACCAGTATGAGAGACAGACAGGACTCTGCTCTGGGAGAGGTTGCACTGTGCAGATGATGATGTTAAACCAGTGTCAGATGCTCAGAAGTGCTGAGGAAAAAATAACACGGGAAGGAGGTAGAGCTTGTGCGAGTTGGAGTGTGAGGTGCAGATTTCGATTTTAGCCAAAGAATAGCTCACTGCAAAAGGAGTCCTTGAGCAAAGCTCTGAAGGAAGCAAGTGAGCACCTGATCAGTGTGGATGGGACTATTCCAGATGTGGGTTCTCCAGTGCATGGGCTCTGAGGCAGGGCAGATCTGGCAAATTCAGAAAACAGCAAGGGGCCCAGAGTGCAGGAGGGGCATGAGTGAGAGGGAAGTTACAAGAGGAGGTGGGGTGATGAGAGGCCTAAGGGTATGTCTGAGGCTCCCAGTGCATTTCTGTAAGTGTGTTTCACAACTCTGACCATCACGGAAGCTGCTAGAAGGGTCCAAGCAGAGAAGTAACTTGACCTGTCAGCCACCTTCATGGGCTCGTTCAACCTGCTAGTTGTCATTAGACCATGTGGGGACAGGTTGCAAGCAAGAGCCTATTGCAGGTATCCAGGTATGAAATGATCCTAGCTTGGGTTGGAGTAGTAATGGTTGACTGGTGAAGACAGGAAGTAAGATATGAGAAGAAGGGCATAAGAATGACACCTGTATTTTTGACTTGACAAGTCTTAACTAATTGGACAACCAAGGTTATCTTAACTGAAAGAACTGAGAGAAGAAATTAAAATGTTCCCCCTGAACTTCTCATTTGCTGACATTTTTGTCACCAGGATGCATTTGTCTGTACCTGGCTGCTCTGATACCCTGTCACTCAGGCCATTCTGTCTCTTCCATTGCAGGCTATTCTTCCCTGAAGGCTGTGAGACCTCATCCTGGGCGACCTTTCTTCCACACTCAGCCAAGAAGCACTCCTGGCTTGAAGCCACGGCCTCCAGCCACCCAGCCAGTGCATGGCCGGACAGACTGGGCTTCCAAGTACCCGTCTCGGCGGTGACTATCTCAGCACCAAGACTCTTTCACAAGGGAGAGCAGGAAACTGTCCCTCAGCTGACTGGCATTCAGCTTGCAAGAAATGTGTGGATGATATAAAAGCAAATCAATACTTTATAGTTATTCTTCTGAGCTAAGACATTTCAATATTCTTTTTTAAAGTTTTTTTAAAAATATTGATTTGAATGCAATATCCTCTTTTAGTATGAAATTATTTTATTCTAAAACTAGGTCTCATTATTTTCTTAACAGCATTTTGTATATATGGATTATGTTTTAGCATTTTATACTGTCAACTTTGTAATGAACTTTTTAAAAATTAAGTGATTTTCCTTTGGAGTTCCAGATAATATTTTATACAGACTTTGAAAAATATAATAATATTGATACAGTATTGCAACAGGGGTGAAATTTAAGGCTATGAGACAAAGGGTTATTTACTCAGTATGTGCAAATATCATGGTATGGTTACATTCTTAACATGGCCCATTAGGTACTTTAGGCTTTCTTGGGCTGACTTTAAGAAAGGAAGCCTCTGCTTTTCTTAATATCATGTCATTTTTTTTTGATACCACTGTTGTATCATCCACTCTGTTTTAGTTTTGTTTCCTGGAACAAAGAACTCTATAAATATTTTTTATAGTTTTCACAACACCCTTTAATGTGGTTGCGGATATTTAAATGAAACCAACCTTAATCATACTAAGCTGACTCATTCTATTTTCTTCCATTTTTGAAGTCAAATTGTCTAAGTACTCATAAAAGGAAAGCTTTCACATCAAAAGGTTTCAACATAAAGGTTAATATAGTCAGTTAAATTTGTTTCTGCCAAGATGCATGACTAAAAAAAAAGTTTCAAAACAACAGAAGATTTTTGATTCTAATAATTGAGATGGAATTTTGCACTCAGCTTAGCTCTCTAGACCTGGCTAGGAGCTCAAGAATAATCTTCTGTCCTAGATAAATTCTCAGGACATTTTGGGAAGCAGAAAAGATCTAGGGCAGGGAACCCACTTATCTAGGAAGTCATGGTTGCCACGATCTTAGTGTCCACAGTGTGCCACATTGGAACTCCTAACTTGTATAGTTTCTTTAAAGATTAAGAGCTCTATTTGTTGGGCAGAGGCTGTTCCATAGAGAGGAATGTTTACAGCACTTTTACAGATGACAAAGCTAGTTTGGAAACAGAAAAGGACAGAAGGTCCACTCCAATCCATCCCCACACGACACATTTGCCTCTACTCATGGTTACTTTCCTGGCAAGAGTGAATGCAGTAGTAATCTTTTTTTTTTTTTTTTTTTTTGGTACCGGGGATCGAACTCAGGACCTTGTGCTTGAAAGGCAGGCGCCAAATCACTGAGCTAAATCCCCAGCCCCTGCAGTAGTAATCTTAACAGTGTTCTGACTCCTGTTCTCCAAGGGCTCAGATGACTATCCTTTGGTTCCAGGTTCCAGGATACAGCAAGGCAAGTCATATGAAGTAATCAAATTTGTAGTTAAAATGGTAGATTAAGGTGAATACAGATACTTTCATGTGGTTCAGTCTAGCAGGGTGATAGACGATCACTTTGGTGTATTAATATGTTGCAGCCTGAACAAGTTACCATGACTTCCAAAGGGCTCATACCTAAAATCAGGGAGTAATATATGCTTTGGAGAATCTGGCTCAAAAGTATATTTGACCAAGCACTATGATCCTGAGGGACATGAGAAAAGCTCATAATGGATGTGGATCTGATGGATAACATTATCCTGTTAACAAACTGGCGGCAAAGCTTTTGAAAATGTATGTGCAAGCACAATTGAAGTGAATTCATTTCTGTATTATATTCTCAACTTGTTATCTAAAGCCACGGAACATGTGTTTTCAGAGATGAGTCCTTTACTGTTAGGTTAATATTTATTTTCTCTTTCTGTATTATATATAAAAAGTAAACTAAGCTGAAACCTTGCCCAGTTTTCTGGAAAGCTGGCTTTAAATTGTAAATACCCTTTAGAGATGCAAATGAGTTGTCAATACCATATTATCTGTCCTCTAGCCTGTGTTTAGGTCATTAAGTTTTTTTTAATCAAAAAACCTACTTACTTGATTATTACATATCTCAAAATTGTTTTCTGAAAACTGTTTTAGGGCCCATATTCAAGGAATACTTCATTTTTTCCTTCCATTTACTCTGTTTACCAGCAAGCAGCTTCCTTTGGGAAGCTAAACACATTTATTCACATGAATGTCAAGAAGATGATGTGCAGTTGAGAAAACTGTAAGACTGAGAAAACAATCTAATTCTAAAGAACTAGCAAAATCCTATAAGTATTCTCCCCCCCTGCCCCCCCAAATAGGTAAAGGACAAATTGGGTATACGAGCTATGAAGTTCAGAAGGAAATAATGACCTTTTTTTTAAGCAAACATAAAAAATTTTCCTGTTACATATATATATTTATATATATATTTATATATATATTTATATATATAAATATATATATATATTTTTTTGGTACCAGGGATCGAACTCGGGTCCTTGCACTTGTGCTGCAGGCGACGAAACCACTGAGCTAAATCCCCGGCCCCTGTTACATATATTTTTAATTACCATAGAATTATAAAGTGAAGTGCAAGACAGGAACAGGAGTGATGATTCACTCTACCTCTCCATGTCTGTACCTCATTACAGTCTGAAAGCTTCCTGGGATGTCAGGAAATGGTATAGGTGGAATTCCTTCTGAGCCCAAAATTTCAGTGACCATGGTGCACTGAGGGGTATAGCTATGCCTCACACACAGCAAGCACTGCAGAGAAACTGCAGTTGCATTAAAGCCACTTTGGATATGATTGTTCACTTTGCAATAAAATTCCATTAATTACCAAACCCTCGCCCAGCTTGAGTATCATAGGATTTAATTGGGTAGAAAGGTAATTTTCAAACAATTTTTTAGATACATCACTTATTTAAAGGACCACATACACCTAAAAAAGTAATACTGTGGCACCTTTTGGGCTTATAAAAAATTGAATGCAATCAAGGTAACACATGTCTAACAAAATAAGATATTTTCTTTTTTAAGTGCAAATACAGGTCCTGTTGGAGTGAATGGATACCACCTTCTTATGAAATAGCATTTCCCTACCATCAAGCCATTGTTTCGTGCCATTTAGGAGAGGGTGAAGAAAAGCAATTCAGGCTTTGTTTCAGCTCAGTGTATGACCAAAAGCAATATGTTTGTAAGAAAATTTTTAACATACTAATTATTTTATATCATTTAAGTATACTGTTGCAACTAGTTTAATATATGTGATTAATTTTTACAATTTCCAACCAAATGTACTGTACAGTTATATAATTATTATGAGAACCATCTTATGGAAACCATTAAGAAGAAAAATGGGACAAACATCACATTAATCGGTATTACCAATTTCCTAAAAACCCTGTTCTAATGTGAATTTGAAATGATCTGACAGAGTCTCCTAATCTCAGATATGTCAGTGCCGATAGCAGTTTAATTAGTTGCTTTGCTTACAACAGAGTAACTGAGACTTTATTTATTTATGAAGCAAATATTCTTAATAATGAGAAGATAGGCTGACAGAAAACCACTGAAGTAAGAACCTTCTGAAATAAAATTTTGCTTTTTAGTTTGTCCTAAGTGTTTAATAATGTTGATTTTATGTAAGGAAAATGCTCATGTTCCAAATAAAGTTACAATTTAAGAAAAACAGATTTGAGTTTCTTTTTTTGTTTGTTTGTTTCTATATTCATCAAAAGATAACTTTAAGGCCAGTTTCTAATTTTCGTAAATTAGTTAGTTCATTTGGAACTTTGATACCGATAACTTGTTGATGCTTACTGTAATACTGTGTTATGAAATTGAAAGCACACACTTAGCACAGTAGGATGAAGATTATTCTGCACTGTGAAGGGGTTTGTCACTGTTTTGTCATTCATTCATTCAAGTATTCTCTGAACACTTATGCTATACAAAAGGGAGAAATAAAAGACAAAACACTACCTCGTGAAATTCTCATTTTAATAAAACTACAGAGACAAACACATGTTAAATGACGATGAGTGTTATGAAAATGGGTCAGGAGGGTCCACGGAGAAGCCTGTGTGTTGATGGGGAGGGGGACTTCATCCTAGACTTCTTTCTACTTTCTCTGCAACCTCATTATTAAACCTTTACTTTCTGCCTCAATATTTTGCTATACCTCCTTTCTTCACGTGGACGCTTAAGTATAGAGGGTGTTTTGTTTGGGTTCTGGAGATCGAACCTGGAGCTTCACACACCCAAGCAACTGTTCTACCGCTGAGCTACACCCGCAGTCCTCCAGTGAATTCTAAAATTGTTTACTTACCGGCATGTGTTTGCAGTACAGAATGATTACATTTGTCATAGGGAGCTGATCCTAATACTTAACAGGTATCTTTCTACATTGGGACTAATTCATTCTCCACACTTCTGCCAGAGAAATCCGAAATAAGTCTGTCCATATAATTCGGTGCCGTTGCTCTGCAGTGCAGACTTCAGTTACTCCCAAGAATCTTTCCTGAGTGAAGGCTAATCCCCAATTTGTATGGTCTGAGAAATAGTATACGCTGCCTCTAAAGACAAGAATTATTTTCGAAGGCATAGTAAAGTGCATACGAATTTTGCCTTCTGTATAATGTAACCTTGGTAGTTTTAATGTGTTCTTTAGTTTTATTTACCAGCCACATTTCTTTTGTTCTTTTACTTTTTAAACACCACTGCTGCTACTGCTATATTTACTGTGGCTTAAAGTATCTGTATATAAAATGTAGTTGAAGGGACTACTTAAGATGACCCACTGAGAAAGGGGCGGGGGGATAATGTTAGATCTCCATGTCTATTCAAAAGGAAGGCAGACTGCCACGTGCAGCGCCTCATTTGGATGTGTCTGGAGTCTTGGAAGCTTGACTACCCTACGTTCTCCTACAAATGGACCTTGAGAGCTTGTTTGGAGGTTCTAGCAGGGGAGCGCAGCTACTCGTATACCCTTGACCGAGGAACGGTCCTCCTCTATCGGGGGTGGTCGTCCTCTTCGACCGAGCGCGCAGCTTCGGGAGGGACGCACATGGAGCGGTGAGGGAGGAAGGGGACACCCGCCTAGCCAGCCAGATCAGCCGAATCAACCCTGGCGATCAATGGGGTGACAGATGTCGCAGCCAGATCGCCCTCACATCCGAGATTGCATAGTGGGACGGAATCTATATAAACCCCAAGTACTTTTCGACTTTTCACATAGGTTGAGTTTATTTAGTAAGCCGAACCAGGATGCTCTAACTAAAAACAAATCAATCTATTATAACAAAGATAATGCACCCTCCAAAATGTTGAAATTGAAGCTAAATTGAGTGAAATTGGGGCCGACCTTGCAGTACCCAGAATGCCTTGCGGCTGGGTGGGGCATGCTAAGAGCCTACGTCACCATTGGTGAGGCCTCAGCTCCTGCCAGCCCACCGCTCTCCTCTCTCCCCTCGCCTTTCAGTGTCCGCTTTCCTCGGGGTCCTCAGTGACCCCCTTCTGTGCCACTGGGCCCTGGGCGCACCCCTGTGGTAGGTAGGCGCCCCTTCCCGGGCCGGCGGAGTGGGCAGTGGGCAGGGCGCCCGGACTGGGTGCTGCTCGTGTCGCCTCCTCCCGGGCTGCGACGACGCAAGACGGTCAGTGCAAAGTACAGGTCCAGGGGGTGAGCAGGTCCCTCCGCAGCCCTAGCGGGATTTGGAAAACCTGAGATGCTCAGGGTCGTAGAACACCACAATGCGGTGCAGGATCCGAAATACAGCACTGCTGTACAGAAGTCCTCCCAGCCAGGGACCCAGCTTCCCAAGACCCAGAATAGGAAATCCTAAACAGAAGAGGTATGAAAGCCAGTGCTGGTGTTTCTGTCTTTCCTCCAGCATTTTTAAATGACAGCTTATTTTATTAGCTGAACAATGGAAAACGTAGTAATCAAACAATTTCCTGTGCCCAAATCTTGAATATTCCTTCAGCCCCAGCCCTAGGCTGGGGACCCTCTTGGGTCTGTTTTCCAGAAAGCTCTACTAGAGCCATCATGGCAGCGAGGCTCAAGCTGCACTGCCCCAACGGGAGAGGCTGCATGGAGCCCGTCAGATGGGTCCTGGCCGCCGCCAGAGTAGAGGTACCCTGCCCGCTCTCTTCATAGGTGCCGCAAGGCTGCGAGGCCTTCGAGGAAACCCCGAGTCCCGGAACGCTTAGCTTCCTCCACCTGATCCACGGTCCTGCTCCCTCAACCCGGAGGATTTCTTCTTGTCAATGGATTTTTCTTCATAAATGGAATGTAGCTGATGGAATTCTGTATCCCTTTCGACAATTAGTTAATTTTTATTGGCTTCTAACCTACCACCAGTGAATGTTTACTAATAAGGAGAAAAAGAATTAACCTAAAATTTGCCAGTTCCTCCCAGAACTTTGATTATCTAATCTCTGGGTGAATTTCTTGTGCCTGGCTTGGCCTGGCAGCCTTGGCATCTTGCCTGCAACTGTGTAAGCATTTGTCCACACGGCGTTTTTTTTTTTTATTCTATTCGTTTACTTTCTTACGAAAAATTTCAGATACAGAGAGACAGTGGCATAAATTCTACGCATGCAGCCATTACCCAACTTTAGCGTGGCTTGATCAGTCTCCTCTCTCCACCTTTTAAAAGTAAAATTAAAGCATCACACTGTTACCTCCCGGAGTGCTGTTTTTCCGTATTTATTTCTAACAGATTTTAAAACATAACAATATCAATATCATACCAAATAAAATTAACAGTTCCTTATTATCATCTAGCTGTCCGATTGTCACAGACATCTTTTGTTTGGTTTGGTACAGGGGATTGAACTCAGGACCTTGTGCTTGCAGGTGGTGGCACCACTGAGCTAAATCCCCGGCCTGTCACAAACATGTTTTAAAAGTTTGTTTCAGTCTTGATCTAAACAAGGTCTGCACGTTGCATTTGATTTTATGTCTTTCAGTATTTTAAAAATCTATAACACTTTCCTCTGCATTTAAAAAATACCAGGTTTTATTGAGGAATAATTTTAAGTCTATAGAAGAGTTGTAAAATTGTGTCTTGTAATTCCCAGCCTTTCCTAATAACATGTTACATAACCATGTTAAACTAAGAAATTATCATAGCTATACGACTAAATACAGATTTATTTAGGTTACCATTTCAGGATCCAACGTAACTTTTAGTCATCATGTTTATTTAGTTGCCCTCATCTGTGACAGTTCTTTGACCTTTCCTCTCTTTCACCTCCTGGACTATATTGGTCAGGCATTTTTGTAGAAATCTCTATAGTTTGGGTTTGTCTGCTGTTTTTCTCACAATTGGATGAATTTATATGTTTTGGGGAAGAGTCCCAAAAGACAAAATCCCCTTCTCATTGCAGCTTACTAGGGTTACATGGTAGCAGAACAGATGATCACTGCGTGGCTAGCCTTGATCATTTGGCGAAGGCAGCATCTACCACCTCCCTGCATGGTCACATTGCTTTTTTTCCCTGCATTCTTTGGAAGCAAACCATTTGGTCCAGCGGCACTCCAAATGATGGGATCTGAACCCCAACTCCTGGAACTCTTATGTAAGGAAGATCCCACACACACACTTTATTTATTGTTCAGATTGTTCCAGCTTTGGTCACAGGGCCATTTTTTGGTTTTTCTTTTTCTTCTCAGTGCTTCAGTACTTTCTGACAGTATAAGGCAGTATAAGTACTTTTTTTGTGTGTGTGTGTGGTACCGGGGATTGAACTCCGGCCCTTAAGCTTGCTTAGCAGTCAGCGAAACCACTGAGCTAAATCCCTGGCCCAGTAAGTACTTTCTGATAGGCTTATATTGTATTCTCACCGCCCTTAGGGTAGAATCAACAGTCTTTGTAATAGTAAACCATACTAGTAGCCAAGGTCTGAGTGCCAGGTTTATGCAATAGTTTTGAAGCCATTTATTTATGGAAAAAACTGCTCTGCAAAATTCCCCGTTCTAGATTTGACTTGTTTACCTTCCAGGCATGGCCTTGAGATATCATGGTGAAATGAGGCCTTTTAACATTCTCCTCTATTCCCCACTTTTCCTGTAAACTCCTCTGGGCCCCCAAGGTGTGATCAAATTCACAACTTTTTTTGTGTTCTAAGTTGTTTGTTTGTTTGTTTGTTCTCCCCTACTCTGTGTTTTTATTCCACCATACCAGGGACTGCTTTGTGTCTGCAGACTGGTTTTCAGAGCTTGTCCACTGTGCTCAGGCAATGTAGCCTTCTGCACACATAGCTTCCCCATCATCTTTTTAGCTGGTGGTTTTAGTAGCAATGGATTGTCGTCATTGCTAGGAATTATAAAAGCAGCTTTTGTATTTGTCATTTCATTTGAATTCATTAACAATGATTTTCTCATAATGAATAATGTTCACTTTTTATTTTAAAATACCATTCACATAGGAAATGCTCTATAAATGGTAGATTTTTAAAATCTATTTTCAGAATAATGAGTTATTACCCTAGCAACTTCCAAAGATGACAAATGTGGGCTTTGGGTTTTATTTATATGCTTTTGGTTTTATTTTTTGTATGTGATTATAACTTGCCACACAGTGTTTTTATCATTTTCTAAATAACAGTGGTACCTCGGTTCCCAAATTTAATTCATTCCATGATTTTGGAAAAGTTGGTTACATTTGTGTTTCTGTGGGAAAGAGCGCTAATGTTGCATTTGTCATCCGATGTAGAGTTTGCAAACAAAAACAGAGTTTTGTTAGGCCGGGGATTTAACTCAGTGGTTCCACTGCCTGCTGTGCAAGCGTAAGGACCTAAGTTAGATCCCCGGTACCAAAAATTTTAAAAAACAGAGTTTTGTCAAATGCTTTTGTTTTCAGACCAAATTATTCACAAACAAAAGTGTTTGTGAGCAAGGTATCACAGTAACTGACATCATTTTTATATACAAATCTTCTGACTTCCCATAAGAATTTGGAAGATCTGGTGATGCTGGGCCCTCATTTCTACAGGAAAGCAATTGCTGATCTAAATAAGAGCTTCCCTACTATTCCCTCTTGTCTCAGTGTTTGTTTTCTGGCTACATTAAGAGGAAAGTGAAAAAATTTGTAGTTCCAGAACCTAAACTAAATTTACCTCACTTGGTTATGTCACCTGTCTAACCCTGTCATTTATTTATATCATTTGTCTAACCCAGGTATGCTTCTAAGTTTGTTATTCTTGATTTCTTTTATGGGTTTTGAATGGATGTTGATATATGTATGTAATATCATTCTTTGTCAAATTCTTCTCTTTTCTGTCTTCATTCTACCCTGCTTCTCCTACTCTCCTGTGAATCAAGATATCTTTGTTACAGTAAGAGAATCTCAACGTTAAATTAGTTAACCAAGAGCGTGGTCATTTGACCACCTGCTCCAGCCTAGTGACATCGGGCAGGCAGATGGGGCACAATAATGAGTCTACCCTACAGACAGGTGAAGGAGCTAGAGCAGTCCCCTCAGTAGGGCCAGCCACATGGGTGACAGTAACTATTTGCAAGAGATGCTGTTGGGGAACCACTCCCCATCTCTTTGCCAGAAGACATTTTCACTAAGTTTGTGCCCACATAGATTTGAAGCAGGTGGAAAAAGTATACGATGCCTAGTGTCCCAGGAGAGAGTGGCTGAGCCTAACGTGCCAGACCTTCGCATCTGAGTGATGAGGTAGCTAACACCTGCTGCAAAACAGCCATCCTGATTTTGAGAGCCAGCGTCCTCAGTCTCACCACTCAGTGTGAGGTCTTGCTGACACTGCTGTGCGCTGCTTGTTGGTCACTGGTACTTGTGACTTCATTTGCCTTGGAAACCCAGCAAGTCCTTGTGTTAAGAGACAGAGGAACACTTGTCAAAGAGAAGACAGAATGGCCAGAAACTCATGATTCAGGAGCAGTTCACCTAGAAGAAAGGGTGTTTGGGTGTGGGAGGGGCAGATCTCTGTAGAATCCTACACTAGGTACTCCTGGGATTGTCATCTCTGCCCTGGCAGCCTTGGCTATTACATAGGACTTTTCTTTCCTCTGTTCCATCCTCTTCCTCCCCATTCCAGTGCAAATGTCTCTTACTTGGCAGTGGTTTTATAAAGCTAGATACAAAACTCGCCTAGTGAGAAATACCGCACATTTTCACATGTATTCCCAAAAGTTTGAGTACAGCACACACCTACACCCACACCTCTGGAGCGTAGCACAAAAGCCCTGGACTCTGTCACTCCGAGGCTACTGCTTGGTAGGCATCAGGTGACAACCTCTATGGGAACCAAGGCCCCTTTCTTCCGACTAGGAGGACCCTGATAGCAGGAGCCAAGCCTATATCCATCATCCTGGTTCTCCCCCTGCTGCCCCGCCCCGGCTCAGCTACTGGAGACGGAGGCCTGGGGGCTTGGCCAGGCAGCACTGTTCAGCTCTGCCCCTGTTGCATGACCCCAGGGTACAGTGCAGACCCAGGCCTAATGGAGATTCATCCTGGGATGTTTGACATTAGCAGGGAACGTTCTAGAACATGAACATAAAATAATGTCACCAGAAGGGAGCTTGTTTTCATTGCTTCTCCCCCCAACCCCAGCTTTCAAACTTGAAAACTCACACCTGCAGGCCAGTTGTGGTAAGCACAATGGATGCCTTTCAACTCAGTTCATTTTGTTACATTTGCTGTTTCCCTCTCTTTGGTTTGCTTTTCTCTTTTTTTTGGTTTGCTTTTCTTAATGATGTAGAAGAAGAAAGAAATAATTGTTCTAGTAACTACAAATTAACACTAAGTTGACAACATCTCATATCCAGTCCATATTCAGATTTTTCATATTGCCTCCCAAATGTCTGAACTGTTATGTGTGTATCCAGTGCATATAACAGTTGCCCTGCTCTAGGAGCTAATCAGGATTCAGGCATTTGGTTGCTGTCTGTTGGTTCTCTTTTCATCAAGAACAACAGTACCTGCCTTTCCCCCTGATGCCCTTGGTTCTTGAAGAGTCCAGGCCATTATCTCACAGAATGGCCCATATCCTGTGTAGACCCTATTTCTACCTTGTTGATTAGGTTCGGGTTAAATGTTTTTGGGGTATGTTTATAGGTGTGCCCTTCTCAGTGGGTCACAACCAGAGGTGGAGGATGTCCAAGTGCCCTCCACAGTTAGCTAAGTTTTGTTGTTAGATAGCGAGATCTCTAGGCCTTCTCATTATACACTTCCCCTCTACTATGAGTGACTTAGGGGATGACACTTGGAGATTGTGTGACTATTCTCTACCACGATGATTTCAGCATCCATGATCTTTTATTACTCTTGGAGGTTACAGATTGGTGATTTTCTAATTTTATCATTCATTTACACTAATTCTTCATTAATTAGTTCTAATTCTTTTACATAACAATTATTCTCTTCTTTTTTATTTTTTTATTTTTTTTTTTTGGTACTGGGGATTGAACTCGGGTCCTTGTGCTTGGAAGGCAGGCAGCAGAACCACTGAGGTAAATCCCCGGCCATCTTCTTTTTAAAAATATTATCATTTATAGACATAGAGATTTTGTTGTTGTGTGTTATAAATCCAAACCGTGTCCCAGATTTCATTAGAGAATCCTTCTCAATCCTCCCTTGCCTTTGCCTTTGATACACCTTGTTCATTTGTAGTATGCGCTTTCTTCCTGGCGTGACAGAATCAACCTCTTGTAAGAGTAGTGGGCAGTGATATTTAGAAACCATGATGTGAATACTAAGTGTGCTCTTTCTCTGCTTCTTCAGTTCTACACCTATAATGACACTTATCTTCTTGGGGGGTTATATTTTTATTTTTTAATTTAGTTTGATGAGGATTTTCTGGAAAAGAAGGAAAATTGCAGAAGCTACAGGATGGTGAGTATGAAAATGAAACAACTTTTTATAGTTGCTGATTTCTTGTTAAGAACTGATATTTATGTAGAGGAGCAAAGATGTTAAAAACATTAAGAATAGTGTCTTAACCCAGATGTGGTGACACATCCCAGCATTCAAGAGGTTGAGGCAAAAGAATCACAAGTTTGAGGGCAGCCTGGACTATGTAGTGAGTTCAACACTATCCTAAACTACATAGCAAGACCCTAAAGGAGGTCAAGAAATGGAGGGAAGTAAGAAGGAGAGGAAGGAAAGGGGATGAAAAGAATAATTGAGATCCGTTATGTACGTCTGCCAGCTTCCCACAACAAATGTAAGCATTATGTAATGCAGACATGTACTAATAAAAAATAAAAACCATGAAAAAAACAGTGTCCTAAAACCAGAAAAGCAAGCAGGAATATTTAGCTGAAATTACCAAGAAGTTGCTTCTTGTTTAGGAGTTGTATAAAAGCAAAGTAAAGGGTGGGAACACTTTCCCCCCATCTAAGTGAACAGTCTTTTCCAGCCTTGTCTCCTGCGTTCCTTTCTCCAACCTCTTTCTGTCCCTTTCTTTCTTTGCCTTGCCTTCCCCTCCTCTTAGTCTTCCCCGTCTCCTCCCTTCTGAGCTCGTCACCTGCTTACCACAAGAGAGAAATCAACCAAAAGCTCCACGTTAACCCCTGACCGGCCCTGCTCCTTCTGCACCTGTCCTTGGTGTGGCAGCCAGAAGCAGGCCCTGAGTGACTACCAAGCAGTGCTGTTTCCCTTCCAGTCATCCAGGCCAACTCAAGGCTCCCTTAAGAGGTACTCATCCTCCAGGCTTGTGACACCACCTTTCATGTGTGGCACTGGCCCAAAGTCACTAGGCCTGTGCCCTCCACCTTGGCCTGTCCCAGTCCTCCTTGAGGGCTGGGATGATTTCTGTGTCTGCATGTCACATCAGGGTCTGGCATGTGAGAAGTGTTTGGTGAAGGTTTGTTGGAGAAAGTACTGGGTTAATCCCAACCAGTCACAACAAAGTTGAGAGTAAGCAGCCTTTGGCTATGAAATAGAGAGAGTTTCATAATCAGACTCTCTGAGCACAGTGCTGCCCAAAGGAACTCCAGTGACAGAAATGTCCCTTTCTACTCTGTCCATGTGGCACCTACTAGCTTCACCTGACTACTAAGACTTGAAATGTGTCTGGTATGACCTAGGATTTGAGTTTTAATTTTTTAATATTTCAGTTACTCATTTGAGGCTTACATTGCCTTACGTAGCTAATGGTTACTATACTGGCCAGCATAGCTCTGAAGAAGTATTTTTATGATGTCCCCCATCCCCCACTTTGTTGTTGTGGGTATGTATTCTTCCTGGGGTGAAATGAAAAGGAAATGTTTATAACAATGTTAGTTTTCAGACTTCTTTTATGGCTAAATTTGCTCCCCTGAAGGAAGTTCAGGTTACCTGTCATGGGGAGCTTTCCACTACTCCCTCAGGCCATGTTCCCACTGTCCTTTCCATTGACTAAGACCACTTTTTTAGGGTTTGGAGAACAGAGAAAAAGAGAGCGTGTCTAACTCTGGGCTTTCATCCTAGGTAACCACCTGCTCTCCCAACAAGTGCCCATGGTTGAAATCGATGGGATAAGTTGGTGCAGACCCGAAGCATCCTCCACAACATAGCTGAAAAGCACCAGCTCTTCAGCAGGGACTTCAAGGACAGAACCCTGTACTGTGGCCTCCTTTGGCACTGCTGTTATGCCTTGGCTGATTATCTACCTTCTGCAGCACGTCCCATCTGCTTTATGTCTTCTCATTAATGTGGACAGGGAACAAAAGTCCAGAAAGGCCATAAAGTTCCCCTGGAAATGCAGATCAGAGAATCTGAGTAAAACATATTTGGATCATAATAATTCCTAAAGTCACAATCCCAAGTGTAATCCTGAATGTGGAAATCCTGACAGATCAAAATGCCTACAGTCTAACATCCCCAAAGAACAAAATCCTAAAAATATAATTCTGGAAAAAATCATTAAAAAAAATTCTTTAAAAGACATTTATTTATATGTTGCAGAGGATATTTATTTGAGAAACATAAAACTAAGGCAGAACACTCCATAGGCCACTTGATACCATAAAATAGGGAACAAAGATTTTTGCAAACAGAAGCACTCAGGTATACTGACAGTACTCATTTGGACTTAACAATTGTAAGCAGATAAGGAGTATTCAGAAGGTAATAGGCCAAAGAGTGAACAGTTTAAGTTCATATCACTGTGGTTGGTAATTGTGTGCACCCAGCCTTCCAATCACAGTTGTCTGAAATACTGTGTCAGTCCATCTAAGACACTTGACAAGGTAAATCACAGCTTCAGTGAACCACCACCACACTGGCAATAATGATCTTGAGAAATTTTATCTCTCACATGTACAGATGTATAAAAGGACGTCTCTTCATTTATTGAGTAAATACCAACTTTTTCATGTACGTTCATAATACTCTTGCACAGTTAGCCTTGTAAGAGTGCACTTTCAGGGGGTCAAATTTGAAAAAAAAACAAAACATGTACTGAATTAGAGCTTTCTAAAAGCCTGTGCAGTTGATGCCTCCAGAATTGGAAATGATGCAAACACAAAATATACAGCACAGTGAATTATAAAAATTAATACCGGCAGTTTAAAATAATGAGGGCTAAAAACTGAAAAAAGATACACACACTCACTCCGTAAAATAGAATTTGACTTTGTGGGTTTCAACATTCAGAATTTTAAACTGTTGGGATTGTGTCTTTTTGGTTTGTGATCACATTGGAGGTAAATGATAGAAAAGAATTGAACTCCCTATCTGTTATCATTTCAAATTCCAGTGTGTACTTTGATACTACTTTTTACCTTTCTTGCAAATTTACTGTCATTTAGTATTAGCCTTGGGAAGCTGCTGCAACGTTCAAGGCCAGGAATAGGATATTTTGGATTATAATTTGAACCCAAGTCCTTATCCTTGCACCAGTGAGATGTAGGACCCTGACAGAGTGCCAGGCTTCATCTTGCTGCCTAATGGGTATGATAACAGTGCTTTCCTTGTGTTTCCATGGGAGCCAATGAGATGATGGATATAGAGTGTTTGGCACCGGTCTTCTTCAAGCATTCACCGAGTGATAGCTCTTCACCAGGATGCCAGGGTAAGGGTGGGGAGTAGGAGCGATGAAGAGAGGGTGATTGGGACTGTGAAGCTCTCTAATTTGTGACAGATTTTTCTGAAGGGTTTTTTGAGCTATAACTAGAGTTGGCTTTGCATCTTTGCTCTTAAGAGACAAGTAGGTAAACACTTCTTGGTGCAGGTTGCCAGAACCTTAAGGAAAGGCATTTTGTACTCTTAGTTATGCAGGCTGATGAGTTCAGAGAGGAAAGACTAAGAAACCTGATTTTCTGTTTGAAGGATTGACATGTACGTGGAGGGGACGCTGGATCTCTTGGAACTGCTTATCATGTATCCTTTCTTAAAATCAGAGGATCAACAAAAGGAAGTGTTTCACATGGGCCAGAAGGCTATAATTAGATACTTCCTAGTGTTTGAAAAGGTGGGTGGCAGAGAAGCCCAAGAGCACAGCATAACCATACCACAAGAGGCCAGTGCTGCCCAGGGAGGAGAAAACTGAGCCGGAGACCTAAGAGACTCCTCACAGCTAACAGTGGCCATCAGCACGGAGCCTCTGGGGTCCATGAGCACCACATTACTCTGCAATCTGGGAACTGTGGGCTTACCACATGTGTGCATTATTATCCATGTGTTGCACAAGTGCCACCGCGTGTAAATACAGAGAAGCTGAAACCACCTCATTCATTCATTCATTCATTCAACACCTGTGGGCCAGCCGTTATGTATCAGACATTCACCTTCAGAGTCTGACACAAAACTATTTCCATTTTATTTTTCTTCCTTTTGCTCTTGTTTTATTTTCCTCTTCTTACTACTATATCTGCTCTTCTGAGCTTTAAATTCCTTTTTTCTTTCACTAGGATGAGTTTTTTTTAATGTTTCAGTTAAAAACAAAATAAGAGAATGTCAAAATACAGACAGGCCTGTTTGGCAACTCCTTCTTTAGGGCAGTAGAGTTAAGAAAAAGGAGCAAAGTGGGTTGAGATTTTCTGTAGCTTGGTTCCACAGCATCTTTTCCAGAGCAGTTTGTGAAGTGGGAAAGGAACCTGATAAGTCTTGTGTCCTCATGACCCAGACGATGAGAAGGCACCTGTGAGGTACAGATTGTTACCCTTGCACCTAATGAAAGGGAATTGCAGAGGTTCAGTGACTGGTCTGAGACGTGGCTGGAAAATGGAACTCTGGGCTCACTGTCCTATGCTGCTCTGGCTGCAGTGGCTGCATTAGATTAGGAGCTGGGTTCAGTCTCTGTCAGACATGCACACTTATAGGTGCACATGCACACCACTGTGGACATCTAAAGATTCCCTGTCAGAGGGATCTCTCCTTTCTTTCCACTGTTCTCCGCCTTTCCCTGATCAAACTATGTTCTTATAAATCCTTTCATCCATTTTTACTCTCAAATTAGGAAGCAACATGAATTTAGGATTCTAATTTCCTGTTTTTGGAGATGAGCAAGGAAGTCTGCTTGTACAGCCGTGTTTGGTTTATTAAAAGTCCTGCTCTTTATAGAAAAACAGGCCTGGGAAATGAGAATGAACCCCAACAGACTCTCATCACTTAATCTCTTCTGTCCCTCCCGAGTCTCCGGAATTCATCAGCGCTAGTTCATTCCTGTGGTACATTTCTGGAATAGATGTATGCTTCTCTGAATGCTAAGCCCAGAAATAGTGAATTTTCTCCTTTTATTATCACATTCTGATTGCTTACCCCCAATTTTTTTTTTTGGTACTGGGAATTAAACCCCAAGCCTTTGCACTAAACTACATTCCAACCCTTTGTATTTTTTACTTTGAGAAAGGGTCTCTCCAAGTTTTCAAGCCTCAGCTCAAATTTGGGATCCTCTTCCTTCAGCCTCCCAGAATGCTAGGATTACAGATTTGTGCCACCATGCCATTTGCAGCATAGATTTAAAGATTCTGTCATTTGCACATTTGTGCTTCTACTCTTTCTACCCATCCTTAAATATAGGGGTTGCCTTCTAAACTGATATGTTTATGAAAGATAAAAGGACAAGGCCATATTTGTAGGCCCCTCTGAGATACAGCACTGATTCAATAGCTCCATCCATCTCTCCATGTAGAATATTATGACCAATGCAAACCATTTATATCCTACAGGTTTTAAGGGGTCATGGACAAAACTTTCTTGTTGGTAATCAGCTGAGCCTTGCAGACGTGATTCTACTCCAAACCATTTTGGCTCTGGAAGAGAAAATTCCTAATGTCCTATCTGCATTTCCTTTCCTCCAGGTAAATAACCAGTGTTTTAGAAGACTGACTTGGAGCTTGTGGGCCTTCCTTTACAGCCTTCTGGTTGTTTGGGTTGGTGAGTGTGTGTGTTTTAGATTCCAGTTAGCGAAATGAAATGAAGGTATAGACTTGAAATTTTTATCTGGTACACAAATGCTGAAGAATTGAAAGGCCTTTGATCTGTGGAAGAAGTTTTCATGTTTTCCATGGCTGTGCTTTTGGTACAAACCCCACACATAGATCTTGCCAGTGGGTGCTTGGCGTGGGAATGATCCCTGGGCTGAGATGCCACAGTGTGTGGCCCTGCTGATGGGAGGGTGGGGTCAGCCTCCAGAACAGTCATCATCAGGGGACAACTCCCTTTGTCACAAATGATGTGTTTTCCAACTGGAAACTTCCAGGCTCGAGTTTTGAGAGCAAATAAGAGGTACCCTGAACATCACCTGAAAGGGTTCCCACCACTTCCTTGCCTTTCCAGGGATCCCTACAGAAGACTTTTATGTGGCTCAACTTATTCCCTGCTGTTATTCCAGCAGGATCAATCATAGAGCAGAAAGGAGCTTTCGAAAGGGCAATCTTACCTAATCCTCAGAGTCTCATACCTGTGGGAGAGTGAGATCAGAATAGAGGTCAGCAGCCAAAATGATAGCTCCTGGGTCCCTGAGTGTCTCCTGTAGCCTGACCCTTCTGTCAGAAGGTCCAGTGGGCTTTCCCTATGCCAGGTCTGCACACTGTGGCCCACAGCCAGACCTAGCCCACTGCCTGTTTTTGTGCAGCTCATGAACTAAAAATGGTTTTATGTTTCTAACTGCTTGAAAAAAAAAACAAAAGAATAATTCTTTATGACACATAAAATTATATGAAACTTGAATTTCAGGGTCCATAGATAAGTTTGGTAAAAAACAGAGCTACATCCACTCATTTATATATTGCCTGTGTCTGCTTTTGTGCTGTTCCAGCAGAGATGAGTAGCTTAGAGACTGTAAGGCCTACAAAGCTTAAAGAATTTATGACTGCACCTTGACAGAAAAAGGTAGCCAATCCCCGAACAGATTACATTGATATGTTTGCCCAAGATATCAAAGGTAAAGAGAGGGCCGGTGATTTAGCTCAGTGGTTCTGCCGCCTGCCTAGCAAGCGCAAGGACCTAAGTTAGATCCCTGGTACTAAAAAGAAAGAAAGAAAGAAAGAAAGAAAGAAAGAAAGAAAGAAAGAAAGAAAGAAAGAAAGAAAGAAAGAGAGACACATTAATTCTCCAATAAGGGACACACATACGTACCTTTTAAAAGTATAGTTTTCCAAATCTGGTAAACATCATTTTGATTAAATAGTAAGGACAACCACTGCCAGATAAATAAATTCACCTGGAAAATAAAAACAGAAGTCTTCAACAAGGTAAATAAGCCATATATTATTTATGATGTTAGGTATGTTCATTTCTTCTTGCAACAGGGAGACCTTTCTTTAATTTTACTTTGTTCTGAATTTAGGATACTTATGACCTGAAGTTTTCTTTTGCAGCATTTGGTTAGCCCAAGGGGAAACAAGAGGAAGGGATCTGGTGTTGATTGAGCGCTTGCTTTGTTCTAGATGTCTGCCAGGGACTGGCATCCACTTATTTGCCCCCAATGTACACCATGACTCTAGAAGGTGGGCTTTATCTTCCCCATTTTATAATGAAAACCCCAGGCTTTGAAACATGACACAGTCTGCTCAAGGTCCATAAGTACAGGTGGCTGAGGGGAGTTGCTGAGAAATCTGGGATCTATGTCTGTGCCCTTTCCACTTGTCTGTAGGGCTTCCTAAAAATGCATTATTTAGAAGTACATTAGCTTTGGGCTTAAGTAAGTAACTAGGGTTCTGAATAAAAGTAGGCAGAATGCAGGAAATTTAAAGTTATCTGCTAAGCTTATCAGATCTGAAGTCTTAGGTTTGCACTTACTTTTGTACACAAAGGCACATACCACATTGACCATGAAGTGCTTTTTTTTTTTTTTCTGGTACCAGAGATTGAATTCATGACCTTGCCCTTGTGAAGCAGGGTCAGTGCCACTGGGCTAAATCCCTGGCCACCTGAAGTGTTTTTTATGGTATGCCTATCCCTCTAGGGCAGTGGTGGTGAACCTATGGCATGTGTGCCTCAGTGGTCTGTCTGTTACCATTAAAAGTTCTAAAAGGTTCACCATCACTGGTCTAGGGTAAATAAAGACATCTAGTTCTTCTGGTAAACTATAGCACCAGATCTATTGATATTTTCCATCCATGATGCTAACAACATTTTTCTAAACCCCACCATACACCTTTCAATCTCTGAACAGACTGAATATCAACATGAAAGGACTTTAGAATCTCATACCAGATCTGCCTTGAATTAAAACTTTATCCCTGTATTGATTAAAGGGTAGACAAAAGGTACAAAAATTTAATTATACATAAATATAGACCCTAAGTAAATCTTGAAATGATAAATTTTTTGGAACCAGGTTCCAAAGTTTGGCATAATATTCAAAATTAGATAACACATATAGAACTAAATAAGCAATGAAAAGAGATTATTGTATTTATATATAATTAACATAGTGTTAGTGTTTTTGTTAATATTAGTGACACATATGTCCATGTTTGTGTGTATGCTTAACTAAGCTGTGCCTTGCACATAACAGGTATTTAATAAAGAATAGCTTTTTTAAAAAGCCTCTCCATTTAAAAATTTTTATTAAAATAATTAGTGAATGTTTACTTCTTCGTGTACATGGTTCAGATTTTTCAGTAGATCAGATGGGCTTTTCTTCTGTTACTGAGATTGGTAATACTTGATTCTGTGAGTTGGGTGTGGTGGTGCACACCCATTATCCCAGCATTCTGGAAAGCTGAGGCAAGAGGATCCCAAATTCAAACCCAGCCTGGACAATTTAGCACTTGGCAAGGTCCCTGTCTAAAAAAAAAAAAATTAAAAGGGCTAGGGATGTAGGCCCTGGATTCAATCCCCAGTACTGCTCCCCAGTATTGCTGAAAAAATTTTTTAAAAATCTGGTGTCTGAACCATAAGCTATGAAAAACATAATTGAGCATCTCCCACACCCAGGTAAAAAGAGCACTCATTTGCTAATAGAAATAAAAAGTCTAAGGAAGATGGAGCTTGAAGTATAAATCATACCATCAGAGGACTTCTTACAGCACTCTATGTAAATGGCTCTTGCACTTTATTGGAGCACAGTGATATCCTGAGAAACTTCCTAGGTGCCTTTTCCTATTTTTTTTTTTGGTACCAGGGATCAAACTCCGGACCTTGAGCTTTCGAGGCAGGTGCCCCAACCACTGAACTAAATCCCCAGCCTGCCTTTTCCTATTTAAGCAAGTATCACAGTCCTGCTCTTCAGGATTTTTTTTGTTTTGCTGTCCTTGAGATAAGTTCCTATCCTTGTGTGAAGCAAGAGATTTGGTATAAATGCTGGTCTTGATTTTGCCATTGCTGGCAGAAATTATAAATAACCACACCACGAGATGAGACTTTGAACAGTGGCTGAATTGGGGTTTCGGTGAGGTTCTTTAGATAAACATTTAGTGAACAAGTTTTAATGAGACATTTTACACTACCATGTTTTCATAGTTGCTAATCCTTTTGCTTTATTTTTTTGGTACCAGGGATCAAACTTGGGTCCTTCCACTTTCGAAGCAGGCAGCGGAACCACTGAGCTAAATCCCCGGCTCCTTTTGCTTTAATGTTGAACTTTTGTGCTTTCTCTTTTCAGGAATACACAGTGAAATTAAGTAATATCCCTACAATTAAGAGATTTCTTGAACCTGGAAGCAAGAAGAAGCCTTCCCCTGATGACTTCTATGTGAGAACTGTCCACAACATCTTTGTGCCATGAATAACATGGCCATCTGTCAATGGAAGCTTGTCTCCCAGGTAGCTGTGTCCACAGTGGTGTCTTAATGATCCCAATGCTGTTGTCCTGCTGTGTGTTCAGTTGGGTCGTAAATTGGGTCTTTCCTCTCTAGGAAATCCTCTCTTAAAATTATCACCCTATTTTTTTCCAGTGAATAACTGTAATGGAACAAGTTTTAGCAAACATTTTTGAGGAGGCTGGTATCTGAGCTAGATTGGGTGGGGTTCCTCGTTTCCTGTCGTCAGTCCACCTGATTATGAAGATGGCCAGATCTCCTCTTCTTTCCTGAGCACCTTTATCCTCTCTTCATATCTAAACCCCTCCAGTCTCTTCCAAATATTTAGTGTCTAATAACAGTGCACTGTATAGTTAATGACTCTCCTCTGACCTACAGAAAGTCAAGTGGTGGTAATAAATGCATCCAGTATTCGCCAAAATAAAGAATTTACCAATTATTGCCCTGTTGCTAGAGTTTTAAAAATTAAATATGGAGTATGTTCACATGGTTCAAAAATCAAACAAGTTAGCCAGTCTCAAAAGTCTTCTTCACAATTCTGCCTCCCAGCCACCCAGTTCTGGATCTCACAGGCAGTTGCTGTTTGCATACCCTTCCAGCAACATTTGACATGCTCATCACAAAACACATACATGGTACTGTTTATCATCTCCCTGCCCAGCTGGTTATTTGTAGGCTTCTAATCTTTGCATTTCAGAACTAAAATTATGATCTTTAAATGCTGCCTTTCAACATGGGCTGACTCAGCTCTCAGACCTTGACTGGACACCTGTTCCATGTCAGGCAGGGTAGCAGGCGGCAGAGTCACAAAACAAAGCCTCTGTTATAGAAAAACTCCCTATAGGATGGAGAAGATACACATATAACCAGCACAAGTAGATGTGGACCCTAAGGGCCTCACGCTGAACTCCCAGCATAGGCTAGTTGAATTTTCATTCTAACTTTAGTTTCTCAGACTTTGTTCTCTTATGCATGTGAGTGGCCCGGGGATGTTGTTCAACACAAAGGCTGATTCATAGGTCCTACCCCTGTGGTTGACATTCTGCATTTCTAACAGGCTCCCAAAAGCTGCTGGTCCAGAATTCTACTTTGACAGCAGCAAGTCTGACTTCTTTTCTCACATGTGAATGTTGCCCTAATCTGGAGATAGGGTGAGGGTCCTAAATTCTGCATTTGTGATCTCATTTCAACCTCATAAGTATCCAAGTGAATTAAGTACATCTTGTTCAAATGAGAAAACTGAGACTCATCGAGGTTAAGAAACTTGCTCAAGACAGAGGTAGAGCTGAGATATTGGAACTGGTACCCAGACCCTGACTTAGATTAATGTATTGGGAGAAATGCATTCTTCTACATTTTCTAAAAGATTGGGGGCTGCTTTTAATCAAAGGACTGTACTCCCAACTAGCCTAGGGTTGTCAACCTATCATTACTGTTTACTTCTCAGCCCCCCTTCTGCTGGAGAAATTTTGAGCCCTTAGGGATGCAGCTCAGTTCCAAAAGTCATAAAACCCACGCTAAAAGCCTACTTGGTGAACCAGTTTTATTTAATTTAGGACATACCTGTTGGCCAATATGGAAGGCATAAGAATCAGCATGGCAGAGATGGAGCTGGGCTTAGGCCAGCTTGACCTTTGGGTTCTGGATCTTCCAGCAGCTGAGTCTGCAGGGTGTTTACAGTCAGGTGAGCTCCATAAAGCACCACTCTTTTGTTCCTTTCATTTCCCAGAGACAGAATGAGTGTTTCTATCGTGCCTGTTTTGTCACACTCTGCCCATGTACGTTTAAACAATGAAATGATTGGGTTTATTTTGGAGCTTAAGCAAGGTTAATCTTTTGTATCAGCAACCTGTGGAATCATGGAGAAAGGATTAGATGACCTGGTTTAGGCCCTAACTTAGCATGGTGTGGAGCAAGAATGGTGAAGGTCAGGTAAGTTTCTACTGACATATATGCTCATTCTGTAGGGTTCTGTTTAATTCCTATAATATTGTACTGTTCTTATTTTGTTTGTTTGTTTTGTGGTGCTGGGGAATCAAACCCAGGGCCTTATGCATGCTAGGCAAATGCTCCAGCACTGGGCCACACCCCAGCTGCATATTGTGTTTTTGTTAAACATGTATTTCATTTTGACTTGCCCCACAGTAGGCTGAGTGTTCTTGATGGCAGGAACTACTTCTGTTAGTTGGTGTGTGTCTGGAATTCTTAACCTAGCACTTTATCCATAGTGGGAGCTCAGTCAATGGTGTTGAAAGAATGAAAGATTAAACATAGGAATCTTATGGTTTACAAACTGGTATTGTAAAGCAGCACAAGGACAGTTTCAACCAGAACACATCAAGCAAGTGTTGTGGATAATGCTGGGTTGGTTCTCTAGGGGAGGCACAATCCCTGTTTCCAGGAGCTTGCCACTTCCTTAACAGTTTGCAGTGCAGACTCCAAGGAGAGCAGTTGGACCTCGGCTGATGTGAGGTTATGTGAATGAGAATGAGAGGTCCCTTCTGTGCTCAGCATTGTTCAGAAGGAACAGCTCCTCCTGTGAGAGGTTCAGGTGGAAAATAGAGTCCTTTGGAGGCTTTTTTGACCCCTACATCATCCTACGCCATCCATCATCTGTCCTCAGAGCTATATGAGAAGGATCCCAGGGCTGAGGCTGAGGGCAGGGATGGTGACTGGCCTGAGCCAGCTGGCACAAAGCTGTCACATAAAATTCCAGGCTATACTACCAGAAAACAGCAGACCACAAAAGTGCTGAATTATGCTCATAATTCACAAAATGTAGGCAAAAGCTACATTAAATTTTACTCTAAAATATCATATATTGTAACACTAAGACAAATTTACAAAAGTTTTAGCTTCCTTTTACAAAATATCTATTGTATTTGCAACAAACCTTTACAAAGGACACATAACACCAACAAACAAGTCAATATTAACAAAAGAAACTCTAGAAAGCACCCTGTAATCCATTTTAAGAAGCCTGGGAGACTACTCGATATGGCTCAGGTATTGTGGTATGTATTTCATCTATTGCTTTATATAATCTTCAGTACTCACAGTAACTTCTGAGGAGGATAGTATACCCACCACACATGTGGTAATGATTAAGGGATGAAGTCTTAAAGAGACAAAGTAAATTTGTATAGTAACAGTGTGGACTCAGGACTCTAAAGCCATGAGGCCCCTGCCTCGAAAGGAAGGGATGCTAACACCCATTCATTTCTATCTGAGGATTAGGCCTAATGACAGTTGTTGGTAGGGAGCAAGTGAAGGAAGTGATCCTCACACGAGTTCTGGGTTTTTCAATTTTTATGCCCTTTTTGAGCTAGAGGGGCCATCAATCCACGCTCAGGAGGTTACATCTCAAGGAACAGAGGTCTCCCCAAGGAAAACACTAGATTCATCCCCGGTACCCAGACCTAGGGTATCAGCTTCCCCACTGGTTTATTCCAACACCTCCAAAGGCCCATGTCTCTTGAGTTCTGATTCTACAGTGCCAGCAAGAAATCCAACTCATTCTTTTTTTAAATAACTTTATTATCAAACACACACACATACAAAAAATTAAAACCATTCAAAGAAGAATAATGCAAGGGGAAAAAACTACAATAATATTCAAATACAGTAGAACTCAACCAAAACAAAACTGAAAAGCACTTAAACATTTTTCCATATAACTTAAAAAAGCATCTCAAGCACCAACAAGACACCAGAGAATGTGATTTGTTTCAGAAAGATCCCCAAAACCAACATTGAAGAAATAGTAGTCTGGAAAAAAAAATCTCCAGTTAGTTAGCATACTCCACATAAGCCAAGCTTCTCCCTAATTTAAATTTCAATACAGTCATATGACACACGATAGAAACACAATCCGAGGAATATGTTATTTAGGCTATTTCATCCGTGTGCATCCTTAATTACACTATCAGTTTCTCACACTAGAGAAACTATTTGGTACTTACACATGTGTGTCCTATTTATTTCACTTAAGATGATGGCTTCAATATGCATCCATTTAGCTATGTCTCTAGTTTCTCATTCTTTTATGGCTGAGTAGTACTCCATTTTATAAAAAAATCCCACATCTTCTTTATCCAGTTTCCAGTTAATGGGCACTTGGGCTGTTTCCAAGCTTTTGCTGTTACGAACTGTGCCGCTATAAAGATGGGTGCACATATACCACTGTGGTATGATTCTTTTAATTCTTTGGGGAAGATACCCAGCAGGGGGATAGCTGGGTCGAATGGGCCTTCTAAGCCTAGTTCTTTGAGTTATCTCCATACTGATTTCCACAGTGATTGCACCAGTCTGCACTCCCACCAGCATTTGTTATTAGATGATTTCTTAGTAGCAGCCATTCTTTCTGGAGTGAGGTGGAATCTCAGTGTTGTTTTCATCTGCATCTCTCGAATAATCAGTGATGTTGAACATTTTTTCATATATTTATTTGCTGCTTTTACTTCTTTATCTGAGAAATGTCTGTTCATTTCAGATGCCCATTTTTGAATTGGGTCTTTGAATTTGGGGGGTCTGATTTTTTCAGTTCTTTATATTCTAGATAGTAGTCCTTTGTCTAAGGTACAGTTGCTGGAAATTTTTTCCCACATTGTAGGTTGTCTCTTAAACCCACCTCATTCTTGATCACAAGGGGTTGCATTTTGCAGCACCATTGCTGGCAGAAGATGGAGCCTTTGGTATCTTGGGCTGGACCAGGTCTCTGGGACCCCTATAATGTCTGGTGCCTGGAAGTTAGCCTGTTCTGTGACATGTTAGATCTAATCTCCCGTGGGCAAGCCAGAGCCAAGAGTTCACTTTCTCTAGGTTTCAAATCACTAACAGAATGACCACACAGGACAGTGACGTACATTTCAAGTGACCACTACTTAGAAACACCTCTCTGGAGGGTTCCAAACATTTTCTTATCTGGATGCACAGAATTAATGAAAGGATGGCTTTTAGCTTGCCTAATGTTAGAGTACAACAGAATCACCATTTAAAGGGTTATAGCAGTATTTCCTGTGACTCTTTTTCTTTTCACCCTAGGATTTGTTTCAACGCAATTTGCTCTGGTTAAAGATTTTAGGGAGACAGAACCACAGAAAGTAACTAGACTAGACTAGCCCCAGCCAGATTTACAGCTGAATCTCCACCTCTTGGGGCAGTTAAAATGGTCAGAGCATTGTATATCAAAAGGAAGTGGAGAACAGAAGCTTTCTAGCTTCCTACATGTGACCCCCTATACCTAACCATACCAATACTGCTTTATCTTTTTTTGTTTGGTTTGGTTTTGGTACTGGGGATTGAACTCAGGACCTTTTGCTTGCAAGGCAGGCAGCGGCTCCTCTGAGCTAAATCCCTGGCCCTTGCTTTATCTTTGAAGGAGGAGGGAGACCTGAAAGCGTCTCCAGTGAGAGCTTGAATCACTTGTCAATTTCTCAT